CTGGACAACTAAAAATATATACATATATAAAAAATTAGCCAGGCATGGTGGTGCATGCCTGTAGTCCCAGCTACTCGGGAGGCTGAGGCAGAAGGATTACTTAAGACCAGGAGTTTGAGGTTGCTGTGAGCTAGGCTGATGCCACAGCACTGTAGCCCAGGCAGCAAAGTGAGACTCTGTCTCCACACACAAAAAAAGAGATAACTAGACATTATGTTTCCTGATGTGATGCAACAGGAAGGAAACATCACATATGTATGTTTCTTGCCCCCCCAAAAAGTTTAACCTGAATCTAATAAGTAGGAAACAATCAGAAAAAAAACCTAGATTGTGATATATTCCACAAATTGGCCTTGAACTCTTTAACATTGGTATCATGAAAGACACACTACACACACAACCCCACCACACACACATCCCACACCACCACACACACAAAAGAACTCATCTATTAAAGGAAACAAAAGATAATGACAACCAAGTGCAATGTGTGATTCTTGATTGAATCTTGGATTTTTAAAAAGACTTAGCTATAAAGAATATTTTTGGGACAACTGGAGAGTGTTGAGTATGAATCTATTAGATATATACAGTATCAGTGTTCAGTTCTGTGAGTGCAATATTGCAGATTTATAGGACAATGTTCTTATTAATAGAAGGAACATCATGAAGTATTTTGCATTTTCATGATGTCTCCAACTTATTTTCAAATAGTTCAGCAAAAAGAATGTGTATTTACTGTGAGAAAGAATATGAGCTCGGTGCAGTGGCTTGCACCTGTAGCCCTAGCTACTCTGGAAGCTGAGGCAGGAGGATTGCTTGAGCCCAGGAGTTTGAGGTCAGCCTGGGCAACACAGCAAGACTCTGTCTATATAAAAAAAGAAAATGCTACAAAATGTTAACAATTGATGCACTTAAGGATATAAGGGTGCTTATTGTAGTCTTTCAACTTTGAAACTCCCACCTGAAATTTCTCAAAATAAAAAAAAAAAAAATGGAAAAAGAAGAGAGGTCCAGGCTAGGAGGAAGTAGCAGGGTTGTCAGTCTCTGACCCAGATATCTGAAACTCCATTTACAATAGAGATGCAGGTGAAACATAGTTAGGCCAAGGAGATCAAAAATTGCCTGTAAGGATTTTCTTTAGAATTTGCCAAACAAAGTTCTGTGGGAATAGGAACACCTTGTAATTAAAAAATAAGACCAGTTTGCCATAATTTACCCCAGAAGAGTTGATTAGTGCAATTATTAATAGCAATATAACCAGAAAGAAATTGTTCTAAGACGTTCAAACAAATCTGGATTTTTAAATTGAGTGGAAATTTAATATGCACAAATAGTTAACAGAAAATAACTTTTAAAGAATTAATAACAAAGGTCT